GTAACCTCATGGAGAGTTCTCTATGCCCAGTTGATTGAGCAAGAGAATATCTTGGACCTGGTTTACAGATGATTATGCACAATATGAAGGGACCACCCCAAAGTGGACAGCTACAGCAATACAGCCTCTTTCTCGTACATCCCTGAAGGACAATGTTGAAAGGGATTCATCCCAGTGGACAGAGACCTCCGTCAATGCACTTGGTTGTTCATTTTTCCTAGAAGGAGAAATGACCAATGGTACAAGTCTGTATGGTCTATATACTTATAGGCTGTGGTCAATGGTTTGCCTGGATGGTCAGAGAATTGGAAGGAACATGATTTGAAAATTGGTGACAAGGAGGTCTGCAGAAGAGGAATGTGAATAGAGCTCTCTGAATGGGCAAGAATCATGAACGTGTTTGTGCCCATGTGAATACTCACCAAAAGTTGACCTTTGTAGAAGAGTATTTTAATAATGAAGTGTAAGGATGACCCATTCTGTGGATACTAGTCTGTCTCTTTCCCCATTCACTTCTGTCATGGCCTAATGGGCTCATGAACAAAATGACCGTGGTTGCAGGAATGGAGGTTGTACGTGGGCTCAGCAACCTGGACTTCCACTCACCAAGGCTGGCTTGGCTACAATCCATACCCAATCTCTCAGCAGGGAAGACCAACACTGCACCCCCAATATAGTGCCATTCCCTGGTGTGATCAGCCAATTACCTGGTGATGATTGATTATACTGGGCCACTACCAACATAGAAGAGGCACAACTATATTCTTACTGGAAGAAACACTAACTCTAGATATAGATAGGCCTTCCCTAAACACAATGCTTCTGTCAAAACTGCCCTTTGTGGACTTACTGAATGAGTTATTCACTGTCATGGTATTCCACACAGCATTACTTCTGATCAACAAATGAAGTACACTTCACAGTAAGTGAACTACAGCAATGGACCCAGGCTCATGAAATTCACTGATCTTACCATGTTCCCCACCATTCTAAAGCAGTTGGTTTGATACAACGATAAAACGACCTTTTGAAGACGCAGTTACAGCTCCAGATAGGCAGCAATCCTTTGTAAGACTGGGGCAATGTCCTCCAGGATGCTGTATTTGTTCTAAGTCACCACCTAATATACAGTACTGTTTCTCCCATTATCAATATTCATGTGTCCAGGAATCAAGGAATAGAAATTGGAGTGGCTCCATTCCCTATTACCCCTAGATAGCCATTAGTAAAATTTTTGGTTCCCATCCCTGTGACTTCTCTGGTCTAGAGGTCTTAGCTCAGAACAAAGGGATGTTTCCACCAGCAGACAAAACAATGATTCCACTGAACTGGAATTTGAGACTACCACCTGGCCACTTTGGTCTCCTTGTGTATCTGAACCAACAGTGATTGATCCTGAAAACCAAGGGGAAATTGAGTTGCTACTATACAACGGACGTAAGGAAGAGTGAAACTGGGATACAAGTGATCCCCTAAGGTATCTCTTAGTACCATCACGACTGTGACTAAAGTTAGAAAATTACAACAACCTAGTTCAGGCAGGACTTCTAATGGCCCAGACCCTTCAAGAATGAAGGTTTGGGTCACCCTACCAGGCAAAGAACCTTGAACCACTGAGGTGTTTGTTGAGAGTAAAGAGAATATGGAATGGGTAGTTGAAGAAGGCAATTATAAATACTAGTTAAGACCATGTGACCAGTTGCAGAAATGAGATTTGTAGTAGTTATCAGTATTTCTTTTGTTATGAATATATGAATATTAGTTATACACACACACACACACACACACACACACACTATTTGGTTTATATATTAACCAATTTTTTTTTTGTTTTCTTCTCTCCTTTCTCTTTTCTTCTCTCCTTTATCCCTGGTCATGGAACATAAGATATAGTAATAAGTTAACTCTACATGACAGTATTTAAGTTACAAGATATCAAGTTAGAGTAGTGAACTTTCCCAAGCACTTTGCATCTTCTGGATGCAAAAAGAAAGGGTTAGTATATTTTTGATTATACACAGGATAGTTTTATTGTGTTAGGTGGAACTATGACTTTGTTATTGTCTTTATTTGGAGATTAAATGTGGTTTAAGGAATTGTGTGTGATTGCCAAGTTGACGAGGGATGGACCATGATGGTAAGTTTTATGTGTCAACTTGGCTAGGCTTTAGTACCCAGTTTTTTAATCAAATGCTAGTCTAGGTGTTGCTGTGAAGGCATCTTGTAGATGTAAAGTCCATAATGATTTGACTTTAAGTACAAGAGATTATTCTAGATAATCTAGAAGCGCCTGATTCAATTGGTTGAAAGGCCTTAAAGCAGGACTGAAACTTTCCTGAGAAAGAAGAAATTCCACCTGTGGGAAGCAGCTTCAGCTCCTGCCTGAGAGTTCCAGGCTACCCTTCCTGATAGCTTGCCTCATGAATTTCAGATTTGCCTTGCCAGCCCTCAATTGCATCAGCCAGCTCCAGGTAATAATATCTTGATATATATCTTCTACTGGTCCTGTTTCTCTGTTGAACTCTTACTTATACACTCAATAAAAATTTTGCGGCAATGAAAAGAAAAATTACCTAAAGATGGCTTCTAACCAATTTAGTCACTGGGAAACTTCCTGTTATCCTTAGTTTTGACAATTTATCCATTAATTTTTGCTAGTTCATCATCTGATGTATGTCCGCAAAAACCATAGCCTTTACCTCTCCACCTCTTTCTCTGAAGATTTCTATCCAGACAGTTCAATCTGTCTTTACTTCTTGAATGCCATTCCTCTGATTTTGAATAAAGTAACATAGCTATAAATTGGAATACAATTCTAAATACACAACATAATTATAAAATCTAATTACGTATAGCTTTCCATTTTCAATTTTTGAAATCCAAGTTATGGACAAAGTTGTCAGTTATACTAATTTCTACTTTTCTGCATCTTTTAAACATTTAAAGGTAAACATTTAATGTATTAAAATAAAAGAAATATAAAAAGCAAACCCATAACAATAAAAAGAGGGAGGAAAATGGACTGCTATAGAAAGAATAAGACAACTTTCTCAGAAATCCAATTGATCTAGTAAAATAGAAGATAAGCAAGGACACAGAGGATTCACGTAACAAATGATCTAGTGGCTACATAGAAAACTTTAAAAATTAGATAGTCTAGACCAGGAAAGGAATGTCAGGTTATAAATATAGATGATAGTTGAGGTTATAATAATGAATGATGCAGGGATGCTTAATTAAAATGAAAAAGCATTTATTGAATAAAAAGTAATCCTGTGAAATTTTAGATAGCAATAATTGTCCATTAGTGATTAATAAAGGTTTTCAAGCAGAAGTATATACAGCATAACTGCTATCTGTTGACAAAAAGACTAGAGAACTCAAGCATTGAGGTAAGAAATTATATGATTCAAGCTAAAGCACCTTACGTTATTTTTAGCGCCTACGTGAGGGCCGTGGCCCATAACACTACATTTTTGACTACAGAAAACTGGTACGTATTAATAAGACTACACAGTGGTTAGGCTAAAAGTAATGAAGGCCAGGAGAATATAACAGGTTTAGATAAATTGGAAATTACTACAGTTGGTGAAATATATTAATCTATATAAAACTAAAAACAATCTCATCTGACCTTATATAAAAATTTAATACAAAGTGGGAGGACCATGTAGTTGCAATGTACATAAAGTCAAAACAAAGCAAATATGGTATATCAATCAATAACACAGTTAAAAATTATGAAATGTGGTTTCCAAAGTGTTGGAGTAAAACAGTATGCCTGCCGTACTTAAACTCTTGGCAGACCATACTTCATCAATTCACCCATCCGATATTGTTGCTGAGCCAGACAGAATCCTTCTGTCTTCTATCATTTTATAATGGTTGAATGAAAGCAAACACTACTTCTTAGAATATTGCATCCACCTTTCTAAAGTAAAATAAAAATAAACTAGAAGGAAGATGTTCTGGGAAACCTGGGAAAATCTTGCACATCCGGGCCAAGTACCATCTAAGCAAAAAGCACCTTTGTGGCCTCTTATCAATGACAATGCTTCCTTTACCTGGAAAGGAGTGGGCTTTACCAAGTTGCCACTAGTTTTCTTAGGGTCTAGACCTCCGACTATTACACCTAAAAATTAAAAATGTAGACGTTCCAACAAAGGAAGAGAACCTAAGTTTGACATTATATACTATATAATATTATAAACATTATAATTTTAACTATATATATAATTATAATTATAAACATTATAAAATTATATATAGTATATAATTTCATGCTTTAGTTCTCTTCCTTTGTTGGTATTTCTACATTCCCTATATATTATACGTATAACACATATATATCCATATACATTATACATATAATATATAATCATACATACATGTATATATCTTAATATTATACATACAATATACATAATCATATATGAGTATTGTGTATATGTGTATAATCGTGTTCTCTCTTTGCCATTACAGCTTAAGATTTCAAAGAAGTTTGTCTGTCATATTTTCCTAAATTTAAAAAATTAGTTAAAACAAGACATCATCAAGGTCAATTGATTATAAAAGGAACCAGTCTCCTAACCCCCTTGGAAGCAATAAACAGGCCATAGCCGTGAAATTGACTACAGCAGAACCTCTCTGTGTACTCTTCCTAAAATAGAGAGGACTTTTAAAACAAGACAAAATCAAAATGAAAAAATCTCAGGGGCTTGTCCAATGGTGCAGCAGTTAAGTTCACACATTCTACTTCAGCGGCCTGGAATTCATTTGTTCGGATCCCAGGTGCAGACCTACACACTACTTGTCAAGCCATGCTGCGGCAGGCATCCCACATATAAAGTAGAGGAAAATGAGCACAGCTGTTAGCTCAGGGCCAGTTTTTTCAGCAGAAAGAGGAGGATTGGAGGCAGATGTTAGCTCAGGGTAAATCTTCCTCCAAAAAAAAAAAAAAAGAGGAAAAATCTCACCAACAGAATTCTAAAAACTAGTTGGATAACTGATTATTTTTTAATATCTTCCAAAAAAATAAAATTATTTTATAACTCTTTTAGCAATATATGTCTCATAGAGTTCTGATTATTTCACTCACTGCCTAAAAAGGAAACATTTAATGAAGGAAAGGAGATTTTCTTTTACATCTGGCCCCTTATCTCTAAATTATTGTACTATGTCAGTTTGTTTACAATTGCAGACTTTCACCTAATGAAGGTGTTTTTTGAGGTTAAGTCAAATGACGAAAAGAGAAGGAATATCTGGATGTCTTCAGCAAAGAGAATCTCTCAAGAAAAGGGATCGGCCACTTGCCATGGTTTTTCTGATGGCATCTTTGACATCCTTGTTCCTCAGGCAGTAGATGATAGGATTGAGCATGGGAGTAAAGACTGCATATATGACTGAGATCAATTTGTTAGAATTAAATGAAGTAATAGCCCGAGGTCGGACATACATGAAGATCACAGCTGTGTAGAAGATGACCACCACGGTAAGATGAGAGGCACAGGTAGAGAAGGCCTTCCACTGCCCAGTGGCTGAGGGAATGTGGAGGATGGTAGAGACAATGAAGACGTAGGAGAGGACAGTGGCTGAGAGAGGAAACACAAGGATGATGATGGCTAGTGCAAAGTCCACCAACTCAGCCATGGAAAAGTCCGTGCAGGCCAGTTTGAGGATAGGGGACACATCACAGAAAAAATGGTTCAAGATATTATTGCCACAGAAGGCAACTTGGGAGATAAAGTATACTTTTGCCATGGAGATGGTGAAGCCACTCACCCAGGAACTGATGGTCAGCTGAATACAAAATCCTGTGGTCATGATGACTGGATAGCGAAGAGGCAAACATATAGCCACATAACGGTCATAGGCCATGGCAGCCAATAGCACACATTCAGTACAGGCAAGTGAGATGAAGAAATAGAGCTGAGTCATACATCCCAGGAAAGAGATGGTATTGGGACGAAGTAGAAACCCAGTCAGCATCTTGGGGACTGTGACAGATATATACCAGGTCTCCAGAAAGGACATGGTCCCCAGAAAATAGTACATGGGCTTGTGCAGGGACCCAGTGACCCATACAGTGAGGATTATGACCAAGTTTTCCAACAGCACAAACAAGTAGGTGATGAGAAAGAGGAGGAAAAGTAGGACCTGCAGCCAAGGGGAAGTTGGGAAGCCCACCAGGATCAACTCACTAATATGAGTGATATTTTTCTTCCACATGCTTAGGACACCAAAGACAAAGGATTTAATGACAATAGCACCAAACTGAACAGTGAAATCAACAGCAAGGGACCCTTAGGCTACAGGTACTTTATCATTAAACTTAACCCTGGTGTCATAATCTGGTCCTAGGGTGTGATTTGGGAGTCATGAGAGTCCATAAGACCCTCTCCAGAAAATCAGGCATTAGTACAGTATCGGAAAACAAATGCACCACAGACACAAAACTAAGGATCACAAAGTAGAATAATGAGGTCACACACAGGGTTCAGGTCTTGAGATCTGGGTCAAAAATAGGTATTCAGGTAGTACTAGGAGTAAATACTTTCCTTATCAGCATATTCCCAGATTTCAGGGGCAGCTATAAGGTAGGAGACCACAGTGACTGGAATAAGTGCCAACGATGGTCCAGGAAGGAAGACAGGGAAGCAGGAAAGTTCAGAATCTGTAGACAATAAAAACAGAATATCAACAGGATAAAACCCTCCTGGCCAGGAGAATTGCTGACTTTGGCCTACTCCTCAACTGTATTGTACATCTGTACATCTTTTGAAGACTCTGGCAAAGATGGTTAAAAATTATCTGCCTATTTTGGGGGTCATGGCCTGAAAAACTAAATGAAGTATGTCTGCTCTCTCAGAATAATTAAATGCATTTTGACTTTTTGGATGGTTTCAGATAACACTAATAATAATAGTTATAGATGTATATATATGATATACATCTATAACTATTATTTACATATATTAAAATTAACCCTATGTAGAGATATACATATATGAAAAGTTTGTATGTAATAATTATGTATAATATATATTTATATAATAATTATATATGTAAAATAATTCACATTTGCTCCCGAATTAATTCGTGTGATTCATCAATATCCTCTTCAAAAAGACTGATTCAAAATTGTTATACTGCAGGAATGAGCATTGCTTGATTAATTCTATCTCCTCCTTGACTCTGAAACTCCTCCTCATTATGGACACGGCTTGAGGACAAGTTGCATAGGGAGCTGCCTTGGGAGAGGAGAGTCAGGAGATGCAACAACTCAAAAGGGTTCTGGGCTTCCCAGAACACAACATGATCTTAGGAGAGAACTGAAATTTAAAAACACTTTCTTCATAAATGGAAATAGAAGAAAAAGAGAAGTAAAGATAAAAGTCAGCTTAAGACTATAAGTAAAATTATGATAAAAAGATACTTTTCAAGGAGACCAATAGAGATGATCTAGAAAAAGAAATGCAGAATTAAGGGAACTGGACATAAGAATAAGATGTGGAATTTCCTAGATAATTAGTAATTATTTCTGATATATATATATATATGTACTTTACGGCCTAATACCCCCAGATCTACAATATAATAGTTAGTTATATGTATCGAAAAGATTACCACAGTGAAATAGAACTCAAATTTGACTGCTTTCTCCCCTAAAATGAATGATCCTTTAATTAATGTTAACAACTCTCTCTGGGAGGTAATTTTTACCAAGAGGTTTGAGTCAATGTGGAAACAGCCTAAATCTGAACAATTACAGAACAAGGTTGTGAAGGAATGTTTACATGAGAATGCACACTCAGTCGTGTCTGCTATTTCAGAAATCACAGAAAACAAAAGAGTTACACAACAAGAAATTCAACATGGACAAAAGAAGCCCCAGTATTCCGAGAGTACTACAGAATTAAGAAGCTACAGAGCAGTGGGACAAATAATTGGAAGACCTGAATTCTAGTCCATGATTTCTCTCTTGTTAACTTTATAACCTGAAGCAAACCTCATCTAAACTTCAGTTCCCTTAAGAATGAAAAACAGCTCTAATACTAAAAATTCAACAAATCATTCATCAAGACAATTTACGGCATTGTTAGTGGTTAAGATAAAGATTTTTTGATTACTTATTGGGGCCTAGCCCCACACTGCATATTGAAATTATAAAAATGAAAAAGTCAGATTTCTCCATTCAAAGTCTTGAGAAGGAGATAAAACAAGTAAAGAAGCCACTGCAGTTCAATGTGTTACGGTCATGAGAAAGATACATGCTCAGGTAGCTCCTAACACTGTCTTCAGAGGTGTCCTTCAAAGAAAGCAATGGGGCTTTCTAATCTGCACCTGGGCAGCGAGCCCAAATTTTGCTGGAGAAAAATCACAACCAAGAATACATGATATCAGCATAAATTTATGCTCATGGAACTCAACTGGCTCACAAACAATGGCTGGCTATCCTACACTATGTTTTAAATCACTTCACACTGCACTTTTCCCAAAGACTCTTGCGTCTGATTTCTAATCTGCCACCCCTCTCCTTCCTCCAACTCTGAGCAAAAAATTTTACTTCTTATTTTACAAAGACAAATGAGGCTACTGGGAGCATATTTATTCAGTCTCGTACTACCAGAACGTTGTGCTTACCTTCTGACATCTCTGTTTACTCCTTCCTTATTTATTAGCTAAAACTGATTTCTCCATCTGCTCTGGATCCTATGCGTTATCTCAGGAAACTCATCTATCAGAAACAACATCTCTTTCTGTATATTAAAATCATTCCAGGGCTGGCCTGGTTGCATAGTGGTTAAGTCTGCATGCTCCAATTTGGTGGCCCAGGGTTTGCAAGTTTGGATCCCGGGCATGGACCTATGCACTGCTCATGAAGCCTTGCAACATCCCACATACAAAGTAGATGAATATTGGCACAGATGTTAACTCAGGGACAATCTTCCTAACACACACAGTAAAATCATTCTTTTCACAAATATTCACAGAGCACCTACTATGTGAAAGGCACTACTCTAGATGCTTGCTATAGGTCACTGAACAAAAAAGACAAAAACAGACTAAAAGCCCTCATCTTAAGAAGTTACATCTTAGTGGAGGGTTACAGGCAGTAAATACTGTCCTTCTCAAGAAGCTGTGTAAATGCAATAATAAAAATGTAGGAACTGGTAAGTTCTATGGAGGAAATAGATAGAGAAAGTTAAATAAAATCAGGAATGTGTAGAGTAATGGCAGGTTCAAATTTTAAGTAGGATGGTTGGGATAAGCCTCATTGAACAGAGTCATGAAGAAGGTGAAGGCATTAGCTAATGTGGCTGTCTGGTGGAGGAGTTTTCCAGACAAAGGGAATAGAGAGTTCAAAGACCCCAAGGTAAGGCACAATGTGAGGAACAGCAAGGAGTCTAGTATGGTTGGAGCAGAGTGAGTGGAAAAGACAAATGAAGTCAGAGAAGTAAGGGTTAGGGGAGATGATGATGAGCGTATCACCATGGTCTTTTTAAGCACTTGTAAGCCTGTTGGCTTTTACTCTGGGTAGACTGGGGCCACTTTGGAAGGTTTTGAGCAGTTGGGTGACCTGATCTTATCAGTGTTTTAAGAGTTCTTCTGGCAAGTTCTTCTTCTCTGGATAATTTCCTACAAGTGTTGAAGTTGACCAATCAATTATCTCTGTTCCAGAAATAATCCTTCTTTACCAGTCATATTTATGTATCTGCTTCAGAACACTGTCCCATCAATTAACCCCTCTCTTTCCTTGCCTTTGACTGTTTACTTTCTACTGCTACTACCTCTCTGGTAATGTCAAGGTCTTTCTCACTTTAAAAATATTAGTTTCAGTTTCCCAATCCATGATCCCGCTCTTCATCCCAACCCCCATACCTTTATCCCTACCATGGGCCAGGTAGTTCCAGGCACTCAAAACACCAAGACAAACAGACATTGGAGCTGTCTAGTATAGGAGAAAGAAAGGAACAGAGAGTTAGAATATAATGTAATAAGCATTGCAATAGAATATTGAGGATTCTAATACTCAATAGAATACTGTGCATTGGGAAGCAAGGGTAGAGAGAGAATAATTTTTTGCCGGAGGCACCCAGAAAGCCTTCACCAAAGAGATGTCATTTGAATGGAAATGAAGCATTGTAGAGTTTTGGGGGAAAAGAGAAATAGCAAGGAGAGAAAACAGCAAATGCAAAGGCAGACAGTAAAGAGACAAAGCGTCGATAAGATGATTCACATTTTGATTAGAAAGAATTGGTGGCATGGAGGAAAGAAATGGCTCAAGACAAGACTACAGGATGAGGTTATATACTATTAGTCCTAATAATTCACACTTTTATCTATAACTTTTTACTAATTCTCACCATTTCCAACACACTGAGTCATGGAACATCTGACAGAATACCTCTTGCCGCAGTGACCACATATGGAAAACAAGATGAGTCTCATTTACATATTCTTTAATATTATCCTGAGGTCTCTTGATATTTTAGTTTTGAAACTTAGAGTAAGTTGATAGTATTGTATTGCCTCAGACATGACCTAGCTCTCTACATATACCCCCCATTCTGGACATGAATGAGGGCCTCATGTCCTACACTTACTCTCTGCTGAACACTCACCCAGTTTTCCCATTGGCTTTCATGATCTTCACTCCTCATCTCTGCCTTTGCCTGTCCAATCTGTCCAATAGTAAGAATATTCATCATTTACTGGGTACCCATCCTATAGCAGAATTTGTACAAAGTCCTATACATATTTTGTATCACTTAATTCTCACAATAACCTAATAAGGCAGATATTCTTGCTCCCACAAGTAATAGGGTAAATAATTGGCTAAATTCATACAAGTAAAAAGTGGTAGATATGGAGTTTAACCTAAGACTGTCAATCTGTATACTCTTTCTACTATGCAATAATCTTCCTTCTCTAAGTATTGCTTCCCATCTCTCTCTCTTCCCACTGCCACACTCCCAAGTCACACGCCAAATATTGTAGAACATTAGTCAGTTTTTTCCTTATTTCTTTACCATCTCACCCCCTCTCCTGATCCCCAGTCTAGACCCTCACAGTGAAACCAATTTTCCCTTTCATTCAAGTCTTTCATGTCCAAACTCTTCACTCCTGAATTTAGCCTTTACACCCCATCTGAGCCTTTATAATCAATCTATAATTCCAAAGCCTGATTTGTCTAGCTGTTTTCCATTCACAACTTGCCTTCCAAGTTTATCTAACATTCAAGACATCCTAATATTTGTGATACTTTTCATCCCACATCTAGGTAGATGCCCAAATGTGTTTAAAGTCTGAATCTACATGACCTCCCCAACTGTACATTGGCCTCTGATCCAGCCACTGACCTGATGTGTTCCATCCCATTGCTGCCCACTTCCTAACATGAAGGTCTTTATAAACAGTGCAAATACTGGGAGGGATTTTGTGTAATGAGAGTGGAAGCTAGGATGGAAAGGAGCATCGGAGTTCAAGCCTCATCACAGATAGAGTAGACTTGCCTTGCAAGGGGCTGGAACCCATATAGAGGCAGGCAAAAGGGCTATTGTCCATTTAACACAACATTTCTAGATACTAAATAGTATTCCTGTCTCCAGATTGAGTGATCTTGATACAATATAAATATGAACATGTGACTTCCCAGTTTAAATCCTTCAGTGGCTACTATACGTCTGAACTTCTTACACTCCATAGTAGGTCCCTCATGATGTGATCCCCACATTTCTCATATCCTAATCTTCTTCCTTTGTCAGATACTCAACCCAAGCTTGAGCCACATTTGCATATACTCTGTATTCTGCTTGAAATTCATTCTAACTCTTGCCACCTGGCAAATGCCTACTCAGATTCATCCTTTCAAAC